CTCCTCCTCCTCCTCCTCCTCCTCGTTCTTCTTCTTCTTCATGTATTTAGTATATGGTCTACAGAGTTTTTTTAAAAACGTATTTAGTGGCTTCCACTTTCTTTGAGCAACGTCTGTGTCCTCTGGCTCCTCAGTGGGCATGTGTCCCTTGTGGACTTTCCCATCTCAGGTCCTATAACCCTATTTAATAAATCCTTTTGCATAAATATAAAATATAAAATATTTCTCCTCCTTGATTCTGTTCCTCTACCAAACCCTAACAATATAAGCATGAAAGTATAACAAGATTCCCTAAAAAAATACCAAAGAAGCCTCCAAGCAGTTTAGAGAAGTGCACATCAGCAGGACATGGAGGCAAGTTTCAGTAATCTACCAAGTGGGGGGAGATTGCCAAGGTATTTTATTTGGAGATTTAATTTTTAATTTTATTTTTTTTAAACATTTATTTATTTATTGTGTGTGTGTGTGTGTGTGTGTGTGGCCAGCTCAGCCCACCAGGGGGCGGGGCGGGCTGGCATGTGGTGCTGGGGGATCGAACCGCGGTCCCTGTGCTTTGCCAAGCTTGTTCCATGTAGGTGCTTTAGACCACTGAGCCATCTCGCCAGCCCCGAGATTTAATTTTTTAAAAGTGGCTAGTCTGAAAAGGTGATATTAAAATTTCATTTGTAAGGAGGTGTGTTTTTGACAATTTTCTGGTTTGTCAGATTTATTTCTCATTTTTAGTTTAAGAATGAAAAGTGCCATTTACCTGAGAGATTTTACTTGTGTTACTTAATGTCTGGTTGGACTGGAGGGGGGGGAGGGGAAAGAAGGAGGGAGGGGAAGGGAGGGGAGGGGAGGAGAGGAGAGGAGAGGGAAAGAGAGCCCATGAAGTAGTCCTTCCTATAGCCATATTATGAGCAGGCATCAGGATTAGCCTTAGCATGACTTACTCATCACTTCTGTAGTATCAGGCCTCAGGAGATTCTGGGAGACAGCTGTGGAACAGGTATTTCCTCATTGGTGGAGTACGTTTGTGTGGAAAGGTTGCTAATAGGTGGCAAGGAACTTGTGACCAGATGACATGAAGGGTGTTTTTGGGTGGCTCAGGATGCCTTCAGGGCAGGTTTAATAAGGCTTGAGGATCTGGGCATCAAACCACAACAACCTGAGCCTGACTGCTCTATTTAAGCAGTCACTAAACAACTGAGCTAATGGGCAGGCCCCCCAAATGTTATGAAATCAGTGAAAAACTGTTCAGAGCTTATTAAGTCATGTTGTCTTGGGCTACAAATGTTTGAGAGAAGAAATTACTACAGACCAAGAGTGTGTCTTCAATTTATTATTTGGAATCTACAATTACAATATTGTCCAAAGTTATTTCTCATACTCTGCACAATACCTATACACATTTAAAAAAAATCTTACAAAAATGTTTTTCTAAAACTGTGCTCCAATATTTATTCTACTTTACTGGCCAAAGCATAAAAAATATACCTCAATTGCACCTTTTTTTTTTGTACAATCTTCCTGACATTTGTTTATTTATAGAAATGAGGGAATTATTTTTACTTAAGTCACCTTTTCAAAAAGGATATGAAGCTTGAATGTACATTTTATATCAAAAGTACTTCATATTTGTAAGCCCTGAAAATATATTCCTTCTCTAAACTTCTAGCTATAGTTTTTTTTTTTGAGACAGGATCTCACCGTGTAGTTCAGGCTTACCTGAAACTCACTGTGTAACCCAAGCAGGTCTTCAACATGTGGCCATCCTCCTGCCTCAGCTTCCTGAGTACTGGGATTATAGATACACCGCGATGCCTAGCTTTCTTACTGTCTTTAAGGTGAAGGCCTCAATTTCTTGTTGAATTATGATACAATGTTGAGTAGGTATATTGGGTCCCACTGACACTGTAAGCAAATGTTTGGTTTTTGATCATAAATCATTTCATCACTGAGTATTTCCTAAACATTCAGGGACATTCAGGGATCCACTCCCCTGCAGGTGTTCTCATCTCTGGACTTGTGAGTGACTTACAGTGATTCTTTGGATTTTGAAACAGCGACTTCAAATATCTTATACATACAACTTCTTAAAACCAACTCCTGTCTTCCAGAACTCTGGGTTTTCCCTAATGTGGGTGGTGTGACTACCAGTAGCATAGGTGGATTGTTGGCATCTTCATGTGGGACAGTCAGAGCATGAAGTTACAGTATATTTTAGGAGGTTCTCTTCTAATAACATCTTCATGTTACGAAGAAGGAAGACAGGAATTCAGAGGCAGAGCTGACGGAATCTCGTGAAATTAATAACCAGTATTGTATGTCAGGCAAAATGCTGCTGCTCCTTAGCAAAGATTTATTTAACTCCCTTAGCTCATTCTCTTCTATAATTAATTCAGTCCCAGTATCCCGTCTTCCACCCCCTAACTGCTTTTTGTGTACTCTAGTCTTTTCCAGTATGGCAGTGGAAGAGAGAAGGTTGCCCTATGATAGTCCATTAAATTTGCTATTGCAGCAGGAACCAAAAAAGGAAGGAAAAAAAGAAAAAAACAGAGATCTGAAGTAGAGATTTGTCATCCATGACCTTGGGACCATTGCTAGTTATGAAATTTCTGTATTTATTTATTTACTTTTTAAGACATGGTCTTGCTGTGTAACCCAGGCTGGCCTTCAACTCATGGCAATCCTGCCTCAGCCTCCTGAGAGCTGGGATTACAGGTGTGCACATACCTAGCTAAAAAGATATTGCTGAACAGCAGCTTGATGCAGCTGAAGGAGTGCTCTACTTGACATTTGAAGACTGAAAGCCCAGGCCCTGATCTGTCACTTTCAACTGTATGAATAGAACTGAACCAATCAAGACTTTCTGAATTTTAGTTTGTTCATGTGTCGAATGAGGAAAACACCACTTAAATTACCCATCAAAGAATGTCGTGGCCATTAAATGAGGTAATGTGCTTGGTCTGTGTAAACTTCTAAGTTGTTCAATGTATTAGAAATAGGTGAGGCAAGAGAAAAATCATTTCTGTGATTTAAAGTTGCTAATAAAATGTCAGGAAAATTTGGATTCATAGACTAAACATGGGTGGCTAGCTCCTCATGGGGCCCTATTTACTTTTCCATCTATACACTGAGTTGCTGACCTTGGGTTGCTGTCAGCCTCTTCCTTTCACAGTACTCTAAGTGTCAGCATGTAGGAGTCTTCGAGGATGGTCTGTGGTGTAATGCCAGCTCCCAAAAGGCAGGTTGCACTCTCACGTGGAAAAAAAATACAGTCTTACATTATTGGCAAGGAGAATTTTGGCTATAGGTACAGAAGAAGGATCATTGACCAAAATGAAAGAAATATTAAAGAAAAGCTTCCATGGCAATAATTTCCTGCAGAAAACTTGATCCGACCTTCAACGGCTGGGTAAACTACTTTCATTTTTGAGATATATTGAGAAACCACGTTGATATCCTGGTCACCTGGAAAAATGCACACAGTTAATTTTAGTTACAGAAAAGGTAATTATCAACAAAAAGAAGACATGTTTGTGGGATAATGTAATTATCAATTAAAAGAAAGTGTGTGTGTGTGAGAGAGAGAGAGAGAGAGAGAGAGAGAGAGAGAGAGAGAGAGAGAGATAAGGTATTTCTTGAGAGCCTTTTGTAATTTAAAAGGGAAAGCATTTCTTTTTATTCCAGGGATAGTGTCTTAGAGGACAAGAACAGTGGTGATTATAAATACAAAGGAGTTTTTTGCCTTTTCATGTTCCAAATGTGAAATATGCCTGTTGTTCATTATTAGGTAACTGAAACAAAGTTATTTGTCTTAGATCTTAAAATGTCTCAATCGAGGATGTTAACAACATAGACTTTGACCCACTCCAGAACCAAGGGAATTAGGGAATTGGGTCAGGAGCACTTAGTTAAGAAATAGAAGTGGCTTCTTTTGCTTGCCTGCTCAAAATTATCCTACTTAATTAATGGTAGGACAATGGAGGCTTCATTCCTAAAGGACAGGAGTAGAAATAAAGAACTACTCACCCATAGCTGTAACAAACTCATGAAGACCCAACAGAATTTTATCTCATAAATGTTACTCCCACACTTAAAGAGTTTTCTGCAGTGATCTCACTGTTGGGTGTACATTAGAATTATGAGAACAGACAGCTCCAGCCTAGTTAATTAAAATCCCTTACCCCAGGTCCTCAGTATTATAGCAGTGTTTTCCAGTAGCAAAACAGCAGGGAGGGGCTGGGGAGATGGCTCAGTAGAATAAGCACTTGCCTAACAAGCGCAAGGGCCTGAATTCAATCCCCAGTTCCGAAAAAAAAAA